TAATTTTATTATATCTTAACATAGGCACCTATTATTTCACACTTTTCCAAATTTTGAAATAGCATGTTTCTACTGTCAGCAATTTTTATTGATTGGTATGGGCTGCCTTATGGACACAATGACCACAACAAAATCTCCATAAATCCATGGCCTACTATTTAAAAACAGTAAAAATATAGGTTGTGTTACATCATTGTGATCAGGGAAAAGCAAACAATTGACGTTAAGCTATACAGGGTGTTTAAATTAAAAAAAATACCAAAATTGGATCAGATCTCGGAAACGGTGGTCCAAACATTTTTTTACTAGGTCACTGGATTCTACGTAAAAAACGGAAATATGCACTCTTTGCCTTTTTTCCTATCTTACATAGGTACATAGGTATAACATCGAAAAGTAAAACTTTTCGTTGTCACCTTGTGTACAGAAACAAACGTGGGTAGTTTGTGGTATACTTAAGCTTCACAAAAAAAGTGGCAAAAAGTCTCAGTCTTTATAAAACAGTTGAGATCTCGGTTGAGATACGCTGCAGTTTCAAGCAAAATATCGACTTTTTAGGGCATTTTTGCAAATTTATTTGTAAAACGCTAGCTCATAATCTCATTTTGGCCGGCTGGCTGGCTGGCAGCAGATGTGGATCCGTAGAAGAACTTTTGTAGGAAGACCATGTCGTATGATTAAGAACTTTAGGTACATGATTTAGGGTCGGCGACATCTGACCGCCATCCCCGAGCGTGTTATAAAAACGTGGCGATTTTTCAGTTTTTTCTCTTCTCTTCTTCTACCGTTTTCGTCCGATTGTTTTCAAATTGGTTTCGTTGGAAAGATCAAATCAATATATAAAGAAATAGTGAGTGCAAAGGTTTGAAGTGACATTTTTTTCTGGTTTAAATGTCAATATTTCCTAAAAATCGTATTAATTTTAGATTATAGATTTAATCCAGTTCAAAGAATTTTGAAATGTCGAACTCGATTATGTGCAGAGACGGAGACGACGATTTAAATAAAAAGTAAGTGATATTCCCAAAAAACAAAAGTACCCCTCAAATCAAATTTTATAAAATTGCTGATTCTATCGATCGACATATTGGACGTTGCAATTTATCCACAAAGAACACGTTACAGAGAAGGTTTCGTCGAAATTCGAAGGCCACTTACAAAGTGATACGAAAAAAATCGAAATTGTTAAAATTTCCACTAGCCCTCGTACTAGCCTTAACCGAGGCCTTAGTATACAAAAACTAAAGAAAAAAGTGTCAAAAATCGTTGCTTTCCATTATATTTTATATTTTTGCCCACGGGTTTTTCGAATTTTCCATACCTTTATAAAACCAGGTGCCAAATTCTTGACAGAACAGCTTCCTAATAGCTCAAACCGGATATTACAGTTTTGGCGAAACATTTTTTAGGTTTTTTAATGTTACGAAGGTCTTATGACAGTTGTAGGGAGATTTGTGCTCTTTCTCCTGTGGGGTATTGGGGGTAATTTATACCCTCCCGGTTTTATATTGTTCGTCCTTAACACCACGATTTTTGAAATGATTCGAGGGAAAAGTTCTTAGGGCTGAACGGTTTGAGACAGAACTTATCACCGGCGGCCTGGGGGTGAGGGGGTATGGAATGGTATGCGAAGGTCTTATGACAGTTGTAGCGAAAAATGTATGCGTATGTTTCTTCATTGTAAAGTGCACGGGGGTTCTGTATTCTTCACCAAAATGGTTGCCCTAAGTACTTACACCATTACTTTTGAAAAGACATATCTTCAATGTACCGCGTTCTTATGATAGGGGCAGGAAAATTAATGAATCTTTTTTTCCTTTTTGGAAACCTTAGAGATCTTCCAAGAAAGGGGCATTTTTTCTTTCGAAAAATTTCCAAAAAGTGTACTCTTAAGAATTTTTCGCAAAAAGTATACTCTTAAGAATTTTTCGAAAGAAAAAAATTCCCCTAAAAAGTGTACTCTTTAAGAATATGCAATGAAAACTAGTGATAGCTATTTTTAAAAAATATGTCCCCTTTGACCATGCAGAAGTACGCCACTGACCACAAATTAAAGTACGTAGATTGGTAGCCAACTTTTTATAATTTTGAATACCATAAAAATCTTTTTAACAAAACGTTGTTTTGAATTTATATTAAGTGTTCCAGACATTTTCACCCTGTATGTACATTATAGCTAATATAAGAGTCGGTAAAAAACCGGAAAGTTTGAGGAAGAACCTGTTTTGCCCTTTTTTCTGTAGGGCAAGGAAAAGTTGACTTTTTTTGGAAAAAAATTGAATGCATACATCCAGTAACATAATTGTATTTTCGCGTTGGGTACCTATATACATTACACCCACAATGTTTCCGGCTTTATTCCAATTTTTCCCGAAATTTTGAGACACTACTTATAACATACAAAAACCATGGAAAAAAAATTTGTCTACGAACTTGGGGTAGTTCGCGCACATTTGAAGAAAAATAAATAAATATATACAAATTATAATAATTTAATCCTGGGAGTGGAGGAACAAACGCGCGGACGGACTGATGTCCTCGGTCTGGCGGGTCGGTCCCGGAAGCCTCGGGTGTAAACTCCTAGCGGGAATAAAAGCAAAGGCAAATTTACGGCAAAGCTCAAAATTTTGATACTTATAAAACGTAGTTTGCGGAAATGCAAAAGGTAAAAAGATCCTATTTCATAGTGCGTTTTCTATTTATTTAAACATCCATTTGAGTACGCTTCTACCTGTTCAAATAAATTAAAACTGTTTTTAATTAATTATGCCTTTCCCCGACATCGGAAAAATATGGGACCAATGTCAATCTGCAAATTTTTTTAAGAGCGCACCTAACGGATGTAATCTCGACGACTTAATTTGTATCATCTAACTACGGTTAATTATACTTATCCAAATAGTCGGGATGAAATCTCCAAATTCGGCAGGCCTGTTGTTCTTTGAAATGTGAGATCAAGCGACGCAATCGGTTATCACCCTGATGAAAAGTTATACACTAGAAAACAAACCAATTTCGAAAGAAAATTCAAAGGGCTGTAACTTTTGAACTAGTAGCCCAATCTTGGAACTGTTTGAAATATTGGATTCTACAGGGCACATTCTATAAGAAAATTTTTTTTCCGGGTCGATCTGAGACAATTTCTTTTGAGGGCCTCAAAAAAAGGCAGTGTACAACAACCTTCCTTTTTTTCCAAAAATCGACTGCACCAAAATTTCTCGGGAAAACACTTTTTCTTATTAATTTTGGTGCGTAGAATCCAAAACAATTCGTACTTTTTCGATTAGATTTTTCAATCAAAAGTTATAGACTAGAAAAGAAACCAATTTCGAAAGAAAATTCAAAGGGCTGTAACCAGAGTTATCACGTTGATATTTTCTTTATACTGCACGACCTTGTCGGTTTCAATCCTGGATTTTTGTATACCATCAGAAAACTATTTAATAACAAAAACTTAAAACGCTTCTAGATACCAAATTAACAATTTTACTAATATTCAAGGTATTTGAACGCTTGTTTGTAATAAATAGTTATTTACATAAAAGTCCGGAAAATGACACATTACTGGGGAGGAACTACTGAAGTGCGAGGCGCCTTTGGGGCCGAGTACTTTAATTTCCGAGTCAAGTAATGTCATTTTACTGACGAGTTTTGTATTAAATGTTACCCAAATTCGTATTTTATTATAAAATTTCAATTTTTTATAAAACTTTTGATTAATGTCAATCTGTCAGTGATGACAGGAGTCATTGTAGACGTTTAGCAATGTCACAGATGCGGCCAGTAAAGTGACAAGCGGCAGGAAACGTAGTCTGCTCTGCCCCTGTTATGGAAATTAAAATTTGTCTGACAGAAAGTAGGCATGAAAGTAAACGATTGTGGGTAAAATCCATTTTTGGAATTGTGATACAAAATTTAGACAAAATCCAAATATTCTACTCCTAATTTACTGAACTTATGAAACCGCTCAAAGGAGAAGTTGATATACTTTGGAGGCAAAGTTGGTAAATTAGAAATTGGGGTGAGTTACGTTTTATGGTCATTGTCAAGGGTAGATTAAGGGATCGTGTTTGGTTTTTGTCCCAATCTGGTCTTTTAATCTTAAAAATTGATTTATACCGGCGACCTCACAAAACAAATTGTTCACACTTTCAGGACTAACGTGCTAAATTAGGGGGTTGGGTTTTCTGTAGATTTCAATGATACAGTGTCGCTTGTTGCATTATTTTTAACTAAATCAATGTTGTCCACTGTTCCCCAAGCTTATCTTATTCTTTGGTTTCCATGCAGTTGTTCCCACCGAGAAACATTTCTTGGACCATACTGAGCTACGATAAATAAGGGGTTACCGTTACCATCCCATCCTATTAAAAACTGAACATTAGACATTGAGATCTAGTATTTCAAAAAAGGCAAGCAAACTGCGTCTCTTCTGCATCTCCTCCACTAAAGCTCATTGATCGTCTGAAGAGTATGCTGGCAGTTTCATCTAATCTATAATGATCGGAATTTTTTTTGCTTTGTCCAACGGTCAATAAAGGGCGAAAGCACGTGAGGTAAACATTTGGTGCGATCCCAATTAGAAACGTTTTTCGATGGCAAGAACGTGTTCCTCGATAGATCAAAAAAGGAATGGCGCCGCAAAAACACGTTTCGACAATGTGAACTTGCGGTATCTCGTAACGGTTTCTGGAAAAAAGCGAAATTTGGACTTCGCCTTCTATCAAGGATTTGAACTTTGTTTACATGTACTCGTTACGTAGCGCTTTAGAATGTGTAGATCTCATACGTATACTGTGGACTGTTTGGAATGCCGGTGGAAGACGCTCACCTTGAGGACAGCAGGTTTAAGTGCACTGCCCCCACGGTCAGCTGTCTTCTTTCAATTTGCTATTACGTACATTTTTTCCGACATCTGTTTTTATAGTCGCCGTTTTAAAAGACGTAATCGTGATCGCTATAATCCCATAAACACTTAACAGTAAATTCTATTGTTTCAGAGCGTCATCAAGCTCGCTGGAAAGGACGTTAAGCGGTTCTTGGATGAGAAAGCAAATCGTCATGAGAGCCGCCCGCACATTACCCACCACATATCTGCACATCCGACACCAGTTGTACATGTGAGTATTTAACAATTGAATTACATTCTCTTTGTTCGCCGCGTACCTTTAAATGGTCAACATTTGTACCTGTCAATTATTATTAATCGTTCTACTAACTCAGTTCTGATCCAAAGTTGCCTCAAATCTGCAAAAGGCGACACCCTCTTAACTCCATTCATCATTTACCTTTATGCAAAAACGAGTTCGTCTTACTTTGAATGACAGGTTGTACTTTCAGCAGACAGATGAAGTGTATTACGTAAGTGAAACTCCAACCACTTACCTTTTTTTTTTCTTTCCGACACGCTTCAACCTGTCTACTCAGTCATTCATCGGTTAATTAAACATGAAAATTAATAGACGGTCTAATGTTAATTAAGAAGCAAACGACAAACTTTAAAAATGCTTATAAAAGAACGCGACATTCAAAGTGATTTAATGAGGTGAAGCGACTCGAAAAGGAAATTGTAGAAGTTTGGAGAGAATGAAATAAGAAGTCGTGGGTGCTTTGGGGAATACTCTTGCTATTGACTTTTTTTCAAAACGATATTCTTTATTCACTAAATTGCTTTTACGTTGAGCTTTTTTCTTCGCTAAATGGAAGAAGTGGAGTATCCATTGCCATTAGCGACGTCTCATTTTGACTAAGTTTCCTTAACGATAAGGGTAATCGTACCAGTTCGCCAACGAAAACAGATTTCATTGCTGCGAGCGTTGTGTTTTTTTCGTAAGACAGATGGCCGACGAACGAACTTTTGTTTAAAATTAAGCAGGTGGTTGGTTATATGTTTAATATATACTTACGTAAACCCCAAGCGGGAAAGTGAAAATGTGAAGAAACTAAGGGCCATCTGAAAGGGGGCCGCTTCAAGGAAAGTTTGGGAACCTTAAACGTGCAAAGCTCTGGTTGGAATTACACATTAAGTTTAACGTGAAAAATCACGCTGTAGCCTTATTAAACAAATTAAAGAAACGTGATCTTCGTTAATCAAATGAGGATAGAGAAGCGTTAAAATAACATTATCCAAATAACGAAGTGAACTGATTGATTTTTAAGTTAATTCCAAGAACTATTAACCATCCTTCATTATTGAACATCATGTGTCATCAATTTAGTACTCTATTACGATATCACCAACAATGTCATGAGTGGAAGTAGGGTATCCTTCTCCAACTTAGATTTTGGACCAACATTTATAGCGTACAGCAATTTTCCTAAATACCTAGTCCGATTCGGTAGCGGTTTCTACGGGAAAGCAAATGCAGAAAGCGAGACAATATTCCCCCCTTATAATGAAACGGAAAGTTGTAAAAATGAGGAATGAGTGCTCCGTTACAAGCTTCATAAAAAAAAGTTGGCAATTACCTATGATATTTCCGGAGGTTCTAATTTGTAGGAGGATATCTGAAATACGTTGTCTCTTGAATAAAATTTTGAAGTTTTAAACTTTCAAGGATTTTCTTATCGTCTCGCTGTATGTAATGGCGTGTGGTCACCACGACATCCACAAAAAAATTAAAATTGAAACTTAGAATTTTATACTCTCTCCTGGTACACATCGGCATCGGCTATAAAGAAACCTACTAATACTGACTTAAAACTTTGAGCGACTCGGTGGCTTCGATCAACTTCCGAAAATACCAAAGAATTTAATCCAAAACTTTTGAGTCACACCTAAAATAAACCTTGGGCACCAATAGACAAAAATCTGACATGAAGACTCTATCTGGGTTCGAATAAACCCACAATTACTTGATTAACAATCATCAAAAATTTATTCTGCCTGAAACAATTAGACAAAATTTCTGCAAGAAAGAAAAGCTTACAAAGCTTGTATGGATATAATACCTCGCACACATACGGTCGATAATTTAAAATTTAAAAAAATCTCAAATTAACGGTTTTTGGTCGTACAAGATTTGCGATAAAGGCGCATTTAACCTTCTGAATTTCAATTGACAAAATCTGGTTTGATGAGTAAGGTGAAAAATGTTCGGTGGCTGCTCGGACGGTAGAAACTTGTAACTTTCCGAGTAACTCTCACTAAGCAGACAACTGCTTTGTTTACTGACACTCGAACTAATTTTTTCAAAGACTTTAACATGATACAATTCCATGGCTAATGACCCACGAAGTTGATGCCTACCTTCAAATAAAAAAGTGCTTATTTATTGTTGCGGTGTGGAATATACTGTTCCGCCGACCTGGCAGAATATTCCCAAATTCCCAAATAAATTAAATGTATTGTACTCGAAATAAATTACAAACGTGGAATGTACTCCTAGGTATAGGTTGTGTAATAAACTACAGTTTCGAATTAATTTCTTTAGTGATAAATTGTCTATTATTAAATAGAAACGTTTGGAGGTGCCACCTATTTAAAAGAAGAGTAAAACACATTAAATAAATCATTGTATCACCGCTTTCTTATACACTGCCTTTTTTTGAGCCCCGAAAAAAAAATTGTCTCAGATGAACCCGGAAAACATTTTCTTATAGAATGTGGCCTGTAGAATCCAGAATTTCAAACAGTTCCAAGATTGGGCTACTAGTTCAAAAGTTACAGCTCTTTGAATTTTTTATCGAAATTGGTTTCTAGTCTATAACTTTTGATTGAGAAGTCTGATCGAAAAAGTACGAATTGATTTGGATTCTACGCACCCAAATTAATAAGAAAAAGTGTTTTCCCGAGAAATTTTGGTGTAGTCGATTTTTGGTAAAAAAGGAAGGTTATACACTGCCTTTTTTTGAGCCCCGAAAAAAAAATTGTCTCAGATCGACCCGGAAAAAAATTTTCTTATAGAATGTGACCTGTAGAATCCATAATTTCAAACAGTTCCAAGATTGGGCTACTAGTTCAAAAGTTACAGCCCTTTGAATTTTTTTCCGAAATTGGTTTCTAGTCTATAACTTTTGATTGAGAAGTCTGATCGAAAAAGTACGAATTGATTTGGATTCTACGCACCCAAATTAATAAGAAAAAGTGTTTTCCCGAGAAAATTTGGTGTAGTCGATTTTTGGTAAAAAAGGAAGGTTATACACTGCCTTTTTTTGAGCCTCGAAAAAAAAATTGTCCCAGATAGACCCGGAAAAAAATTTTCTTATAGAATGTGGCCTGTAGAATCCATAATTTCAAACAGTTCCAAGATTGGGCTACTAGTTCAAAAGTTACAGCCCTTTAAATTTTCTTTCGAAATTGGTTTCTAGTCTATAACTTTTTATTGAGAAGTCTGATCGAAAAAGTACGAATTGTTTTGGATTCTACGCACCAAAATTAATAAAAAAAAGTGTTTTCCCGAGAAATTTTGGTGTAGTCGATTTTTGGTAAAAAAGGAAGGTTATACACTGCCTTTTTTTTGAGGCCCGCAAAAAAATTGTCTCAGATGGACCCGGAAAAAAAATTTTCTTATAGAATGTGGCCTGTAGAATCCATAATTTCAAACAGTTCCAAGATTGGGCTACTAGTTCAAAAGTTACAGCTCTTTGAATTTTTTTTCGAAATTGGTTTCTAGTCTATAACTTTTGATTGAGAAGTCTGATCGAAAAAGTACGAATTGTTTTGGATTCTACGCACCAACATTAATAAGAAAAAGTGTTTTCCCGAGAAATTTTGGTGCAGTCGATTTTTGGTAAAAAAGGAAGGTTATACACTGCCTTTTTTTTGAGCCCCGAAAAAAAAATTGTCTCAGATCGACCCGGAAAAAAAATTTTCTTATAGAATGTGGCCTGTAGAATCCATAATTTTAAACAGTTTCAAGATTGGGCTACTAGTTCAAAAGTTACAGCCCTTTGAATTTTTTTTCGAAATTGGTTTCTAGTCTATAACTTTTCATTGAGAAGTCTGATCGAAAAACTACGAATTGTTTTGGATTCTACGCACCAACATTAATAAGAAAAAGTGTTTTCCCGAGAAATTTTGGTGTAGTCGAATTTTGGTAAAAAAGGAAGGTTATACCTACTCTTTCTATGAAAATTACAAACTTTTTCCATTTATTCAACGAGTTGTAAGTGAAGCAATTAATTCCGAATTTGCAATTTATTAATCAAATAATAATCTTCCATTTATTACACAATTTATCCCCAAACCAATTACTATAATCGATATAATGAAAAATATGGGGTTAGCTGGAAAGTATTCCAAAGTTAATGGAATTTTTTCAGGTTGCTTGGGGGTCAGGATGTCTGTCCTAAGTTTTTGACCTCGAGGACCGTGTACTAACTTGGAGGGGGGCCAAAAACCCCAAAATGTTCGGACTTTTTTCAGTTTTCCGCTTATATCTCGTAAACTAAAAATATTTTTTGGATCATAGTGGATTACAAAGTTGTACAGTATTGCTAAAATTTGGCTGGTGAAAGGAAATTTTGACCAAAATATAGCCGATCAAAGTTACACGTAATTTCTCTAAGCGTAAACAAATTCCCGAAAAAGGTCTATAACGTCTATAACTATTTATTATGTACCACCATTTACATGGTAATTATATCTTAATCATTTATTTTGAAACACTTATCAAAACGCTAAGTCAAGGCAAATTTCGCTTTGAATCACTTAATTGTCGGGTCCCCTTCTAATATTGGCCTATTGACTATACAGGGTATTACACATATGTATATAAAATAATTGGTGGTTGGGATCAAAACAAGCGACTTAAAATAGTTATTTTTTTGTTATTTGCGACATTTTCAACGGGGCACACTTTTCTGGCCCGAAGGACCAATTTTCAAATGGGTATAAGTTTTGACTTATTAAGTTTGTAGGTAGGTACACAAATTTCATGGAATTTTCGTTGTCCGATCAATAATTGATGCGGAATTTTTTTTGAATGGTCAAAAACTAATTTCAGATGTTAAAGACCCCTACATACCAAGGGTGGGCCCTTTCGTGGTAGGAAAAATGTTTGCAAAATCCGAAAGGGCAAACCCCAAAACCTATTCATTGTAACTCGTATGGTTGCTGAGAAAAAAGCTCGGAAAAAAGTTAAAGATGAAATGCAAATTTCGCCACTTTCGTACTTGT